ACCATAAACTTAACATTGACACTAAACAACTTTTAAGGTGGACAAATAATTTTATTTTGTGCATGCAAATACATGTCAAGTACTGCAAACTCTTTCCATCAATTTTCTCTCAAACACTGAAAATCATGATGCTCTATTTTGTGAACAGCCAAAGCTAATATCTCTTCACTTCAGTGCTACAGCAAAAACACACAGAATTCACTCTTTGCTATTCACTATCATCACAACCCTCATTGTTCCATCTCTGCCCTCCCCCCATATACAGGCCTTATAAGTCCTAGCCTTCCCCCATTTAATCCTATTCCTATAGCACAAAGGGAAATATTACAATTTGGAAATTCAAATTGAAATAAATGGAATAGAATTTATTCCCATATATATTCCCCATTTCATTGTACAGAATTATTTTAAATTATAGTTTTAAATAGAAGCTGAGTATATGCCTTAAAAATGAGCATTAAATCCATCTTAGAGATGGTGCCTGCTTTTTACATGATGGGTGTACACCATCTTTAATTTCATTTACATTTCAATCGAACAATAGATTTGCAAAGAAAATGTCTAATACAGACGTAAAAATATTCACACTAGAGCTTCACAATCGGTTGTACAATTGACAAACAGGCCTCTTTTCCCAAACTTTCCAGTTAAGCAAATTTATAAAGTGTAATCAATGCAACAAGAAGAACATTTCTCTTTCACTTCCAGGGAAAAGAATATGCAATAAACAGTATAAATGCAGACAGCAGTTGCTGCAGGCTAACCACGATACTCCCAAGTGGCTGTACAGTGGATTTGTGCAGTACAAATAAAAGCCACATGTGTTGTATCACAACTACAGTATAACCGTTTGCCCAGCTAAGAGGATGCATGCACTTCCATGCCTTGGGTTACAGAGTGAGGCCTAATTCTTCACAGGTTGATGGAATATGTGCAAATGACCTTGGCTTTTGGCAGTACTAAGTGCAGCCAGTGTCTGTTTTCCACTGGTTTGGGAATATTTTTTAAATTTTACATTAAAAAAAAAAACTGCCATTTTGGACTTGGGGGAATAACTGCTCTTAGAGTAAAAATAAGTCTCCACTCAAATGTGGGGTTTTCTGATCTGTGGTCTTGACTCCTTGTATTCCCTTGCCAGCAAAGAGATACAAAGAAACCGCTAGTACCAAGGAGGTACTAGGAAACTTTTTCAATTTATCCAGAAAACAGTATACTCCTAGAGCATGTTCATTTGTGTTCTGCTTGCAGAAAGGGTCCTTATGAAGAAGGAGTTACAGTAAGTGATCCCATCAACACTCTTCATTCATTAAACATAAGAAAAGTTCTTCCAGGAAACTAATACACAGTTGCAATTTAACTTTTCCCTTTAATGATTAGTTGCCGATACTGGTAACAGTCGACTCAGAAAAGGACTCAAAGAAGCTACAGAAGAAATACTCAGATTCAAAGTTGAAATCACATAAATCTGTTACAAACCCTACCCATTAATAAGACAAAATGGGCTTTAGTATCTAAAATGCTAAAGGTAGATGGCTTTTAAAACAATTTTTTCTAATGTCTAAGTGATCCCATTAAAAATTCCTACAAATCACTGTGCCTTTTGTAATTTTCTCAAGGTGGTATATAAAATTGGGATGAGCTTTACATATGTAGCATCAACTTGAAATTTGGGTAAAAGTAACTAGATCTATACAAATGGAAATTTCAGTCCTAGAATGAGAGGTTTCATTTACTATTCCCTTATAAAGCAAATAGCTACGGGGTGGGGGTTGGGGAAATCAAAGCCACTGGTCAAATGACTACCTTCTCTTGAAAATTACAATGCACAACTTTTCACGTATGATACCAGTTCATCATATGGCACTGAAAGTAAGCCACATCAGCAAAGGCAAAGGAATCTCATCTGTTCATGTATCAACTAGAAGACATATGTATCTTTTTCAGAATTCATAAAATGAAATGAGATCACAAAAGAAAACTACTGATGCTACATCCACAGCATCTGAGTGAGGCAGATGGTCTTAGGGATGAGACTTAAAAATTGGAAAAAACAAAAAGCAAAAAAAAAACCCTTTCCTGCTTTCCAGACCTCAGGCTGCTTTTTCCTGATTAGATTTCTGGCAACCTATACAGTTTCATTACTAACATTAAAAATTTCCTCTCCTCTGGCTAGGTAGCCTTTATTTTAAATGTTTACATCACAACGTGTTGGTGAAAGGGTCAACTGACAACTAACTGCCCCAATGTTAAGAAGCAGTTCTCAAGGTCTGATTTACCTCAAAGACATCAGTAGGTACCACCTTTGAAGAAGGATCAGATGAACTGCTTTCTTCTAAAGGGGCAGAGAACCAATGGCTTTATTTCACATTAAACCCACTATGACAGACAGAAGGTGGCCACCACATAGAGAGGATGCAATACAGAATAGTGTCAACACAGAATCAATTCCTATGTTGTTAGTGGAAAAAAGAGTGAGATTTTAAGAATAGGGAGTTATGGGCTGGGGATTTAGCTCAGTGGTTTCGCCACCTGCTGTGCAAGCGCAAGGACACGAGTTTGAACCCCAGTACCAAAAAAAAAAAAAAATAGGGAGTTACTATTTTATGGGATCACCTGCTGCAAGACAAGCATAATTTTAATATAAATATTCAAAGACATATCAATAAGGTTGGCAGGTATATACACTGATGCAAATGTAATTTACTGGACAAGTAGGCAAACACCTAAGCAGTTTATCCCAACCCTCTCCAGCAGAGCACAACCAAGTTTCAAAATTTCAATTTTAAAATTAAAAAGATAAGGTTAAATACACAAGATCAATTTATGTAGTATATATTCACCCTCAGAACGTGCTGAAGATGTTTTGTGTAGTTCTGTTGCACAGAGGGTTCTTTCCCTGAGGGCACATAAGGAGCTCTCGAACTGTTAATAGGTCTCTATTTTGTAACAAAATAGCAATTTTAAAATCTTAAAAAAAAAATACATTACCTTCAACATGGAAGATCTCACTATTAAATATCCATGAAATAGACAGACTTGTTTGCATATCCTTTTTGGAATTACAAACAGCAAATAAAGTACATTGGAAGCATTCAAAATGTAATAAGCACATATTTATAGAAAGGTTCTGATATAAATTATATAACAATCATGTTCCTGTAATATCTTAGGCTAATTTATGTCAGAAATAAGTTAATGTAACATGGTTTAAAACTCTTGTTCCTATTCACTTCAGGTTACAGAGTGAAATAAATAAAATGTCTTTGTACGTATGAGGAGCACTGGCCATGGAAAAAGGTACAGTACTGACCAAAGGAAACTAAGTCAAGGCTACTGTGCTGTTAAGCTACAAACAAACATCTTCATACATTTGAGTATTAAATTAATGTGTAAGATCTTCCATACTGACACCAGAATATCAAAACTACCCCTTTGTTTCTCAGGTATATTTACAACTTATCAGTCACCTTATGAGCATGTTCATTAAGACAGGTATCAAACACCAGTATTTACTCATTCTGATGAAGAAATTTCAGGGAAATGTCAACCCTCCCGCCCCTGGAAATGTGCACAAAACTTTTATCAAAATCTTATCTGATACAATGCTGTGGTTTTGTAAAATAACTAAATAGCTCAGACGACCAATAACATGATCCTGTTTAAACATCTTGCTAGCAGGAAAAGCCCTTACATACAGTACACCTGGTGAAAGATCTGCTTGGCTTAAAATATTCCAGTACAATTTTCAGAGTAAACAACTTCACAGAAGTTAATTAAAAAAAATAATAAAAGTCAAACTAATCCTAAAGAAATGGAAGAAAAACAAAAAGACAAACTATAGAGAAGGTCACCAGGAAAAAATGCCCAGCTTTTGTTATCAAACGTTGACTGAAATTTAGGTTTTAACAATATATCTCCCACAAATCTGGGGCATGGCTGGTAGAACATACTGCATACTTTTAGATGCCAAGCCAAAACAATTACAGTCACATTATGGCAGGGCAGGGACTATTCATGTTTTTAAATATGAGCAAATGTTAGCCAATGTTCTACTATTACATGGTTCATAGTCTTATCAACCTACAAGTCAGAAAACAAGGAAAATTAAACCCCAACATGAAGTAACAACAAACAATATTTAACCAAGATAATGCAATGAACATCCAAATTAATTAGTTTAAATTAAAAACCCAGCAATACCATCCTGTTAGTCAGTGCAAACGCTACATACAGGGTTTTCTCAAGAAAGCTGAAAGCACCTGATTCTTTTGCCAAGTCATCAGATTCTATAATGTACAGGCTTAAATCTGCATTTTAAAAAACTGGCATTACATTAGTGCATAATTTATCAAAATTGTAAAAACGATTCTGCATAACTTAGGAGAATTTAATATCTAGTACATCAGCTGAAAGACTTAGGCACTTGGTTATATTTTTAATTAATTACTTCAACAAGTAGCCTGTGTATAAATATTAACAAAGCAGAAACTATTCTTGAAAAATGGAAAATTAAAAAAAACCATAAATGCTACAGATAAAAGCACTGCACCACACTCCTACATATAATGCAGTAAAGAAAGCTAGTATATAACCCTGTAAAATTCTATGGTAAGAAGGTCTAACTCCACTCTTCAAAATTAAAAAAAAGGAAAAAAATCCATGCAAAGTCCCATGAAAAAGATAAATAAAGCAGCTGGAATGAGATGGAAATTTCTCTCAGTGAAACATAAAATAGAAATAAATAAGTTAATTAAGTCTACTTTCACTAGATGTATCATTGTAGGATCCTGCTAGTTTAATAACTGAGTTGTTAATTTTCTATAGAAGCCATTTAAAATAGGAA